AGTCGCTTTCAAAAACGGCGTCTGAAATAACATGTGAAACCAGTCAAGAGAATCTTTCAGGCCCCTGAGTTTAAAAATACCGGCAATAAAAAAAGAAACAAATAAGCAAGCTTAATTTACTGGGTTAAATTTGCACAGCAAATTATCAGCTCTGCTGATTTTAGAGTAATGAAGTGTCTTTTTTTTCTGCAAATGAAAGAAGGAAGTCAAAAAGCAATAAGTACACGGCGGATGATTATGTCATCGTGTGGCTATAAAAACGTACTTGGCACATTTTAAAGGACGCTTATTCACCAATGAAAGAAACAGATGAAATTTTCTGCCCCTAAAAACGGCCACATTTTAACAAAAATTGGGCATTTATTTTCATATACTAGCAACAAAAAATCCATGTTTAATCATAGGATTGCCATTAGATAGGCGTATTTTTGACGGGGGATCAACGGTAGTTGGCAAATAACAACAGTTACTTTTGTATATTTAACGTTTCTTTTAACTATTTTCAAAGGCAGATTATATACCTGGCTTAATCAGTGAAAATTAAAAACAACACAAAATAATCCCTCGTTTTTGTTGGTAAGTCCATGCATGTGCAAAATTATGGTTTCCTTTTATAAACGAATTCTACAACGTAAACATATTTACTCAGTCGAAAAATTCGTACGCGGGCTGAACAAATTATTGAATAAAAAGGGGAGGGGAAAACTAATTTTTTTAGCCGCGGAGGTTTTTAGGAAGTTAATTTAGCAGTAATTACCGATTTATTGTCCAATTACGTGTTTCTTTCCGACTCATTTTTACCAAAAAAAAACTCAGCTAACTGTTTGATGCATTTTTCTTCAATTAAATCGATTTTTTTTTCTCCCATAAAGATAGTATGCAGATATTAAAAAAGATATAAATGTTGCTTTAAATTGAAAAGGTTGAGCAGAAATATGGCACAATTAACTAGAAATGTCAGAATGAAAATTAGTTTAATAGTTGGATGGAAAACGTCTTTAAAAATAGCAAGCACTGTCGCCAAAAAATCGAATTTCTATAATTATTTCAGTTCAATGTGAACATGGTTTTGAAGTTGATTGTCAGAACACGACAGCTAAAAACTCTAAAGACTAAATTGATGAAAATGAATGCCGAATACTCGCGTATGAACGATCTCTAAAATGAGATGACGATTTCATACGAAGTTGATGGTCTCACTGAGGAAATAATATGCCGAATTAGCTTACTATTTTGAAAGCAGTTATAAGCTTTACAAATTCCTAGAAATCGACAAGTTTGCCGCACACAGAAAAATGATTTGTCCTATTTTTTTTCGAAGCAAATATAAAATTGCGCCCGGGGCAACAATTTTTTCAGGTTTTGAAAACACTCTCGTAGTCAGTAAACTGCTTGAAATTATTTAACAACCCTTCCAGAAAAACTTTGGATTCCAAAAAATTGTCTGAATGTTGAGGAGAACTGGTCCGAAATAAAATAAATGAACGAATTGTAACATGAGGTTGTTCTTCAACATCCTATCAACTAGCGGTAAAAAAACTGCAAGTAATCAGTTTTAAATGAAGAATTTTCGAAAGTTTTTAGCAATCTTGTTAAAACGGAAGCCTATCAAAGCAGCCAAGACATAAGAAACTTACCATGAAGTCAATGCGTAATTCTCAAATAACTAAGGATACACGAGAAAAAAAGGTTTGTTTCTCGAAAACAAATCGGTTTACAGAAGCACCAAAGTACTGATTTACCAAAATTTGACGATCGTATAACATAACTTTGAAAAAAATCATCTCTAGTTGCGGTTGAAAATGGTGGCTGCATTTTTAATTAACCCAGCTACCAAACTGTAAAAAAAAGGACTGGAGGACATTTTTTACTTTATATCGCTTCAAGGTCAAATGGAAGCCCAATTTTGAGGATAGAGATTTAACATGCACTTGTAGCTTTTCATCCAAGGATGGTTTCTAATCTATTTAGACATCATTTGTCTGAAGATTCTATACAACCATCAAGGTTTATCCCTTGGATGGATAAAAAATAATGGTCCCTCTGGAATAAAATAATGGGACCCTATTAGCTTTGTATTTAAGATGATTTATCGATTGAAACCAGTTGATCAAATACACAGCCAAAGGGTCATTCTAATTCACCTTTGAGCATCATCGATTACCACAATTCTACTAATAAATGACAATGATTTTGAAACATCCAATTAAAACACTGAGCAAATTGCCGAAAGTTGTCTTTCGTTGACGACAGCTTTCGCCTTTTTGATTTTTCGGCATTTTTGAACTGTTCTTTTTTTAAAACCGTAATAAACTGTGGCTATGACCCGAGGATAAAAAGAAAAGATTGATTTAGATTCCCCTGTACACTCAAAAGCTAATGGAGCACAACGAAAAAGAACCGGAAAAATGGGTGATCCTCCACAAGTTAGATAAATTAATGAGAACCTGGTTAACAATCACTGTGGTCTGAACAAACAGTGAACTGAAAAAAATTAAACCCATTTGAAAGTGAGGACGTAGTGATGACCATGTGCTTCTAATAGCATACTCTTATTCTGAGACCCGGGCCGAGGAAGTGATTGCATGCTCAATTATCGCGACTAAACTAGTTTTGATTTTTTTCAGACTATCAGGACCAATATTGGGTATTTCCACAATGCCGCGACCGAAACTCAATAATTACAGCCTTTGCGGACGATTTGCGGACCATATAACAGATAAAAATCAATTTTGGAAAAACTTGAATATTGTCATAGAGATTCGGACGTCTTGTAAGCAGAGTTCTGGTACATATCGACAAAAACTCCAGAAATCAGCGATAAACTAACTCTAATATTAATCAACTCGGGTTGCAAAATGAGACATTTAGACTAGGAGTTACCGTTATTGCACTCTGCGTCAGCGGAGAACTTTTTAACCGGTTATAAGAACATTAAAAAAAAAATTGAAAAACAATTTTGGAATTACATTGTATGGTTTTGCATTTACACTGCCTAGAAAACTACATGAAATGTTTTAGAGCTGTCTTTCACAAATGATATAATTAAAGTAACAAACTGTTAAATTTTGGCTAAATTTTTCAACGATGATTATTTTTTCAAATTTGAATTTTTAAGTTATCAGACATTGATCAAGGCGTTCATAAGCAGGCCATACAAAAAAAGGTGTTTTCAGCGTTTCTGAATAAGTTATTTAGCGAAAATTAAAAAAAAATCTAACACTAGTGTATCCAGGACTAACATTATGCACACAAAATTATAAATTTTGCATGCTGAAAATTTTTTTTGGAAAATGTTTGTTTGAATTCGTTCTTTGGGTCAATTTCAAATTTACTTAGAAAAATTATTTGTCTTGCCATAAAAAATGCTTGTCATACAATTTCTATATATGGGAATTGTATGATCAGCATTTTTCAAAAAACAAAAACCTCAGTCCGAAACAAAAACCTTTACATTTTTTGTTCAAAAAACAACATCTAGAATCAAACAGACGCAGAAATAAGTTTATTTTTTTATCACCCATTTTTGGAAATTGGGTGAAAATTGTATGACAAGCATTTTCCCATAAACTTGATGTATGGAATTGTATGATAATCATTTTCGATGTTTGAAGGTCAACCCGAGAAGTTAGGGAAATTGCACTAAAAAACTGCACTAAACAAAAATTGAACTAAACATATGTGATTTTAGTTTTGGCATTATCGAAAAATCGCCAAATCGATATTTGACTTTTCAAAAAAATTTTGACCAGAAAAAGATACATTTTGGATCAAATGTTAAAACACTATCCTCATGGTTCCGCCCCTTGAAATTTTTGTCTTTGGGTTTGTTTTAGTTTTTGTTTTCCAGGAAAAATTTGGTGCCAAAAATACTCATTACATTGTTTTGAGTGACATATCATATTAAGGTTTTTCAATCAAAAAATGAGAGAAAATTTGAGAAGAATTCGGTTTGAAAACTTTTTTTAAGTCTAATATAATATAGGGATAGAGAATAGCGAGATAGAATTGTAGTTGAACACAATTCTAGTTTTTTTTTCACTTTACTTTAGTTGGGAATAGTTCTCATTTTTGCAGTTTTTCAATTAATTCAGTCAATTTTTACAAAAAAAAAATTGAACAGCAAATTCGACAAAAAAATGAAAAAAACAAACATTTTTTTTAGATAAGTTTGGTCAAAATTTTTGAGCTTTTTGCAGAGCAACCAGCTATCCTTGCTTTAATCAAGCTTTTGAGAATATCCCATTTTTGACGATTAGAAGATTCAGTTTCGTTTAAGTATTTACTTGAAGAAATCACACAAATCAAAGCACATGTGCAGGTTTTAATAGTCCCATCTTAATTTTGCAGGGCGCATGCTAACAGGCAAGGTCGGGTTTATAACGATTCAGGGATTCGACACGCTCACCAACCAAAGAGTCTCGAAACTGAGAACTGGTTTACGGCACCAAATTCTGGTCAATGAACGCTCAAACATTTCTAAAAAAAACGTTTTGGGGGGTTATTTTCAAAAAATATATATAAGAAAAACTTCTTAACATTTTTTGAAAAGTTTTTTTTCAAGAAAAACTACTTGAGGCACATTAAGCGACAGTTGAAACACGCGGGACTGCTACTTGTTTTTTCAGTCAGTGTTTTACTTTTTTAATTGGTGTTTATTTAGGCGGTTAAGGGATTTCACTCAAAGGGAGGGTAGGGGCTGAATCATCCGATCCAGAAGCTTACTTCTCCACTCACTTAATAAATTGATAAGTCATGCATACATAATTGTTTATATTACATAATTAGTTTAAATAATTTGTGAACAGTTAAAAGTTAACTTCATTTTGGACCTTGTTTATACCAGCGGCAATCTTCACTTTAAAGAGAAATTCTTCAGATTCGTTTTCAAGTTGACAAAGAAACTAAAATATGATACGAGTAGACGACCTGAGATAATACACAGACTTTCATCTCAAATAAAAGCCAAGCTAAATCACATGGTCGCATACGTTTTATTTTAAAAACGAAAACAACGTACCATCAAATTATTCAAACAACTACACCATATAAAAACGCACTTGCTATTTAATACCACACAGTATGACATTTTTAGTCTCATAAAAGCTCAATTTTTTAGACTCATTCAAGCTTAAACGGAAAAATATTGTTCATTTTGAAGCTCTTTTGTCTGAAGCTTCAATAAAAAAAAGCTTTTGAGAGAAATCAGCTTTTAATTGGACTTTACTTCCCTAAAATTTAAGCAATCGGTGGGAATCATCTTTTTATTGACAAAGATTTGTCTATCATAATAACATCCAATTCCAGCTAAACTAGTGCAAATTTAATACTGGTTCCAAAAACAAACGGAAAAAAATATTTAGAAGAATTCAAAATGTCTGACGACGGAAATAATTCGGACTGGGACGAGGTCGAAAACCGAAGATCAGGAGTCGCGAGTCCTATTTATGAAGTACAAGCGAACTCAGACGACGATCAGTTAGCCGAAATCGAGCTGGTCGGAGATCGAAAACCAAATGGCGTAGATACGGCTCAAAATCCGAATGAAAACCCGAGATCGACCGACGAACCGGACCAAGGAGACGAAGCTGCTTACGAGTACGAAGTTGAGGAAGACTTTCAAGAAAACACCGACAGATCGGAAGAATCGAACTACGAAGAGGATAACGAAGTCGCTGAGAATCGATACGACTCACAAAACGAGCAGCAAAACAGCGATGATGATCACAGTCGAAACGATGACATGCCGAACGGCGGAGAATATTACGAAACCGATGAGCGATCGGAACCGAACGAAGCCAATGAAGTGGAAGGCGAGTATGACGTTATAGGTCATAATGCTGCAGTTAGTGCTACCGGTGACGTAACTGCTACCAGAAATGACGTAATTGAAGATCAAACTAACGGAGAGGAGATGATAGTCGTGGAAACGCGTGGAAAGCCGACTCTGTTCGCGGAGAGAGAAGACGACGATGAAATTGGGTTCCAATTTGTACGAACTCTGGAGAGCGCTCCTCCACAAAAGAGGGATGCGAAAGTAGATCCACACGCCCCTAATCATGTTAGTATTCTTCCTCAACTTTCTCCATTTTTCAAATGCTCTCCTTCGATTTAATATGATTAAACAAAAAAGGTTTTTTTAGCAGGCAAATTTTTTGTAGCAGATTTGAAATAATTAACAAGCCATAAACCTAATTTAAACGCGGCATTATCAAGCAGCGAACGCTTGCTCCGCTGCGCTTACCTTCGGCACGAGTGTTATTTTGCGCGTGAACCAAGGTTTGCGGCTCATTGTTTTAGTTCTTACTTAGGATTTTTTACGTCTGTCAAACAATCATGCAATCAGTATAGTTTTACTTTGATCTACTATAAGACTCAATTTTAACAACTTTTTCTGACAGATTAGTTTGCTATAAAATCGGTCCCTAGCAAAAAAATTTACTTGGAAAAAACTTGGGAAGGTTAAATAAAAATTATGCCATGAAACTAATTGAGATCACAGAAGTATAAACTAAAGTGAAGAGTTAAAAGCGATAATATTCAGATTGTCTTATTTTTTGGTTTAAAAGAAAGCATGGAATTTTTGTGCTCGGTGTGGTTTTCAAATTTGACCTTTTATCAATCCATTTTTGAGATAATTTTTTTAATTTAGCCTGAAATTTATGATGGCTCTGAGAAAATGTTTATTTTTTTTTTCAAATAAAAATTTTCTTCGGAAATTTTTGTTCAGTGTGACTGATTTTATTGCTCTACCAAATAAAAACCAAAACAAAACATTTATTTGTTTCACAACTATTCCTCGCAAGCTTATGGGGGTTCAAAAAATACCAAGCTGGAAAAAGATTTTTTTTTTTCAGAGCGAAACCCTGAATGTTCCAAATGCGCTTCAAGGTCTTTGAAATAGATAAATTTATACATATTTTTGCAAACTCCCCTCAAACTGATATTCTTAGCATATAGATACGTATTAGAACCACCAAATATTTGGAACGATTTATGAGCGGATTGAATAGCTGCTTACGCGTTAATAACACGAAATATCTTGCGCATTAATTGTTCCAAATTAGACAAATTCGCAATTCGAATTACCATAAGTTGTGAAAATATGATCACAGATAAAATATCGTATCGAAATTCAGCTGAAGACATCACTGGCTATTGGACGAGCTCAGAAATTTCGCTCAAAAACTAAAAGGTTGAAATTGGCCTAGAGAAAAAAACCACAAGCACAAGAATTCCATTTATTTCTTCGAAGTAGCCAACTTCTAAAAATCAACTCAGAATGCTCAAATTTTATGAACCAACCAAAAAGTTATGTCTGATGAAAAAAGTTTGCATAACTTTCATAGTGGTTACAAATTTGCTCCATATCTATACATTAAGAATTACGTATGTTCGGCTGAATTATATGGTACCTGATTTGTACCTTGGTTGGTTTATATACCACCTGTAAAAAATCAAAGTTTGTCCGAGTAAATTAACGAAACTACCGCGAGAACAAAATGTTATTTTTTTAATATCACGAAATATCTTGCGCACTAATTGTTCCAAATTAGACAAATTCGCAATTCGAGTTACCGTAAGTTGTGAAAATATGATCACAGATAAAATATCGTATTGAAATTCAGCTGAAGACATCAGCTGAAGACAACAAAATTAAATTAAACGTAACTCCCTTTACCCATTGACACTCACACACACCTACATTTTCGTATAAAGTATATTATGAAGCAGGGACGGATCTAAGATTTTCTCGAGAGAGGGCGGTAGATTAAAAAAAAAATTCAAACATTTTTTCGACTTTTTTTGTTTGGTCGACCAAATTGATTTTCCGAGCACTCTCAGAAAGCTATAAAAACTACGTTTTGACCATCAACAATTTTACGCCGCAAGCAAATTAAAAAAAAACAGGTCAAAAATCGGTTTTGGGCATATTTTGAAAAAAAAATTACTAAAAAATTGCGTTGGAGTTGGGTCGAATCCCTGGTGAGGCATCCATACCCCTTAAATCCGCCCCTGTTGCAAAGTATGGTGGTGTATGTGAGAGTGTGTATGTGAGTGTGTTTATGTAATTGCGCGAATAGGGGGAGGAGCTAACGAGCTGTTTTTTGTTCCCGATTGCAAAAAAAAACGAACTATAATATTGCGGTGTCGTTATTTTCTTCACACAACTTTAGATTTTTTCACCTGCGATGATTTTTTTCATGAAAATATAATTTCATGGTTATTACAATTATCAACAAAGGCAGCGAAAAAATAATGCTGAAAAATTAGATTTGATTTGAGGCGAGCTAATTGGTCCAGTTATTGGGTGGTTTCGGGCTGCGGATACTGTTTTGAATGTTTTAATTTTTTGCTTACTCTTCTATTGCATGAATTCGGGTGGGGATTTGGTTCTAGCTATTTGAATCTTCTGTTTAAAGTTTAAGGGACCCAGTTACAAATTTAGGGGCGTATGGTGGGATTCCCGGTTTTTTTTTCTAAAAAATACTTGGTTGACGCGCCAATAAACACAAAAACTTGAGAGCTGGGGCAAAAAAGCAACTTTTGTTCTAACATTTCCGAAAAGTGCCAAAAAACGCCTCTTTTGGCCATATTTTCACTACTGAGAAAAAAGTCGACAAAAGTACCACTGAGAAAAAAAAGTCGACAAAAATTTCCAAAATGTTTCAAAAACCCGCGCAATAAAATTGTAAACCCGCACCTGTGTAACTGCTTTTAAAACTTATTCTATAATTGAAACTCGGTCGATTTTTTCTTATCTAAACAGTAGTTTCGTTGGGTGGGGGGGGGGGGGGTGAGTCGGCTGACGCCCTATCCTCAGGGATGTGACCTCTTGTCCACTCAAAGGTTCCCCTTTCGGTAGTTTTTAGGACATCAATTTTAGGCGCATTTAAAAATTTTCAAAGTAGCTTGCGTTTTTCTACAAAAAAAACATCATTAAAAATTCCAAATTTTCAAACTCAAAACTTTTTGCCATCTCAGAAGCAATGTTGATGAAAAAACACTGCCGATGACCTTCAGAGAGTAACAAAATAACCTCAACCTTTAATTGTAGTTGACACTTTTTCAATTTAGAGTGACGAAGAGATAGTCGTTGAGAGGAGGGACAAAAAGGAGGTCGACTTGGGGTGTCCGAGGGAGCACAAGAGCCCGAAGGAGAGATCACACAAGGCTAGTGACACACGAGAAACACTTCATTTTTGGTATTGTAAAGATCCAGTTAACCCCCCTCCCCCTTATTTACCAAATAAAGAACTTCCACCCTACCATTCAATTTACTTTAAATTTTCTTTAGATTAGATTTTGGACCGTAAAGATACAAATGCGTTTCGCTTTTGTAAAGCACTAGAGTCAAGATTAAAGATAACTTGACAAAAAATCCTAGTAAGATTTTGCAATGCTGTTTATAATTTAATTCCTTGCACTTTACCAGCATGTCAGGCGGAACAGTTTTTTCTATGAGTATTATGTAACATTATTATGGCAATAGTTGAAGTCAGTAGCTTTTCAAAGCTTTTGTAATACCTGCACCAAATTTAACCCTGAAATTAGCAAGCAATTATTTTTCCCACTTATTGGGATATCGAAGTATCGAATCTAAAATTTAAGTCAAAACTTCTAGAAAACACTCATTCATAAAAATTACAAAAATTCTTCAATTAACTAAATTCGCCAAAATTTTTATCAAGAGTGTGGTAAGATAATAGAATTATACATATGCGTATTAAACTGGTTAATTAGAAATAGTCGGCAAGAACGGTTTTCAAAAAAGAATTAAAAAAATGAGAAAACAAGCTTTCAAAGACTAATTCAAGGCTTTCTTAATTTTACTTGCCCAGTGATCTTTCAATTTTGTTACAATTTTTTTTCAAGAAAAGTCAAACTTCAAAACTGAGTTTGAATCAGTCTTCAAAAATAGAAGAAAAATTCATAACTTTTCAATTTTTGTTTGCACAATGTCAAATTTTCTAGAAATTTTTTATCGAGGAAACTCCAAAAAAAGCTTCAAAAACTGGTTTTAGTTCAGTAACTCCAGCTTTTTTGCCCTATGAACCAACCTATTGGTTTTTATTATCGCTTTACTCGTGCGTTTCAATCGCTTGAAATTAGTCTAAAACTTAAAAACATCACGGCTGAAAGGACTTTAACGTATCATATCGCTCAACCTTTTCCAATAATTCTTTGTGGTACCCAATAATTGTGGTGCAAGAAAAAGTAAAACGAAAAAAGAAAAAACTTAGAAAATTTAGATTACAAAATTCATCTGCATTTTTATACGTCGAAAAAAAAATATCACCTTTTGTACAAAATTCAAGAAAAAGATAAATTAAATTTTGTTTCAGCTGAGCAAATTTGAAAACAATGCTAAAACAATCAACAATGTTCTGTTTGTATAATTTTTCATTTTTCGAAACTAAATTGTGTAGAGTGTTCGCCAGCTTTTTTAACCTTTTAAGTTTAGCGTTTTGTGCCAGCAATTCAAAATAAGCTGAAAAAACAATCAATTCATAGGTTAACTTATATCTAATCTCTCTTACCGGTTTGAAATGTCTAGATAATTACGCTACTTGTGACCAGGACACTTCTAAATATTCAAACGGCCTTTGACGTTAGATTTTGATTTGAATGTTATAGGCAGTTAAAAAAGGACCCAGTAAAATCCGTTTAAACTTCATGCCCTTTGAGAAGCACAAAACCAAGTAATTCTGAAGGGCTGAATGTTTTCTCGCCTTAAGCTTTGATGCTACGAACGTTTTTTTTTGAAGCAAAATTTTTTGTTTTGGTTTATGATGGCGTTAAATTGTGCTTATTTTAGGAAATTCAAGTACTAAATGACACGGAGTTAAATTTTATGGCGTTAAATTGCTTAGATTTAAAAATTTGGGAACTCTTGAAATCATGGGGAAGATCTAACTACAAGATCTAAATCAACGCAAGACCTTTTGTATATTTGACGAGGAATAATTAACTTAAAGTATGTAACACTTCGTTCACAAAAGATCTACACCAACACAATTTGACGACTTCAAAATTTTTTTTTTTAAAAAGTTTTTGATAACAACTTTCGTTATAAATTGTTAAACAACTTTTGCCTAAATTACTGGTTAAAAAATGGCTCAATAAGTTTTCATAAACGATTTAGTTTGATTGTTACATTTTCTCATAAATGTATTTATGGGATATTTTAAAAATTTGTATTAGGACAGACAAGGGAGAAACTCGGAAAATAACCAAACAAAACGTCGCAAGAAGGACTTAAACTTGGTCATAACACTTTTTTTAATAACGAGGCTGTTCAGATAGTGAAACCAAGGCTGTTTTTCTCATAAAAGACGGAGGGGAAGAAATTTTTCCTCCAAAATTTCGTTCACGAGCGTTATTGTCGGTCGTTTCCATTTGTTTGAATAATCGCAAAACGCAACTGAACGACTTGAAGGGAATCACATTTTTTTCTTGATGATATTTTAATCGTGTTCATATCAAAAAAGAGTTATCGAAAAAGTAATACAAAAGATAGACAAAGAGGGGTTTGCCTTAAAATTCTCGAAATATGAATTTTCTGTGGCAAAAATCACCAGGTAAGGTTTTGATATTCGTAAACGTAGTTGTACTCCTAAACACTCCTGGTCCGTGTAGTTTTGGACACGAAACCAATGAGAACTCTCTTTTATTTAGAATCATATATGGGCGTTTTAAAACAATTACAAAAAAACCTTCTGAATCTCCAACAAAACACTGAAAAGTTGTATCCTAGCTGAAAACCAGCAACAGGGCTAACTTCATCTGGGAACAAGAACTACAAGAAGCATTTACCAAGAGCCTCAAAGTTATTTCCGAGATAACCAAAAGTGTCATTATGTTAAAATAAAAAAAATCACGAAGAAAATAGGACGCTAGTCCTAGCAGACAAGCAGCCCTTTTTGAGCACGAAATACCAGATGGCAACTAGGGACCAAACTCATTAGCCTTTTGATAGCTGAATATTTAAGAAAAAAATACAGAAATTGAGAGAAGGAAATTTAAGCCATTGTCGGGTAGTGGGTACTTTTGCGGAACCATTAATTTGTAGACAGATCTGAGGTCCTAACTGAACATAACGCTATTATATCAGCACTAAAAACCAACAGAGGACAGAAAAATCCTATCAACCCATATTAACTAGATGGGCAGACAGGCTGTTGATTTCGAGGTAGTAAACTCATCACATGCTGGAAATAAGGAATTGTCCACCATTCTGAAAACCCGTCATTATAACCCCCTAAACCGTCAAACTTCGACAAACAGTTTCTCGTTGAGTCGATACGAAATTTCTTTGCAGCCCAAAAAAACCACATTTTGCCAGACTCTTAAATGAAATTACCGCATTTCTCTCCGACATTATTGGGAAAGAAGTCAAAGCAGAAACAGTCGATCATGTATCATCAAAAATCTTTTCAGCCATATTTCACTTTCCTCCAGCAAAGTCACCCTGCATTATACATTTTGACCAGAATTCTAGCCAATTAGTTTTCGGTTGCATTTGAAGTCTTTTACCGCAAGTGGGACACAAGTTTAATCCAATCACACTCTTTAAAAAAAATTCGTCACAAGAGGGCGGCGAAAGCACTCTCAAAATTCTCAGCAATCAAAATCCATTCAAGCATCGGCATTCAACTGCAAGAGTGCACAATTTTAATCGATTGAAAAAAAAAACTTGAATCAATGAGATTCTTCTATCCATTATGCCATATCGTCGCAAGAGGGCTACAAATATGTTCGCAAATGTTCCGACCAACCGACTAATCACAGAGCGGTATGCATGTTTGGTCTCATCGACTTTCACAATTGGTCAGAACCGACCTTAAACAGTAGCCATATCATATAAACCGCTCTTTTTTATCTAAACTTTTCTCACAAACAATCTATCTTTTAACTGGGCTGACATATACTCTCAACTTTCAGAAAGTATGGGAGCCATAATTTCAACCGCGGATGGCAGCTTTGAGACTGCCTTTGAATTGAAGTCGCTGCCTTATCAGATACAAAACAGGTCGCAAACTTCAAATACAAGAAGAATGTCAGCCAAAATCAACTTAGCTTGAAATCAGCAACTGTCTGTTATCACGAAGGATAAGAAACCTTTACCTGGACTAACTGGAGTTCTGGACCCAAATATGTTGGAAGAGCTTGTCGCAGAAGAACCAAGACTTAAACTATTGAACAATGCAGTCTCGAGTAATCATTTTGAACGATTTTGTCGTATCGACCTCTTTAATAACAAAACACCAGGAAATCAATAACTTTTGGTATACTTTTAAATTTAAATTAGATCATAAAAGTTTTCTAAGAGACGCACTAACCCCAGAAGATCATTCACAGTCTGAAAAGCATTCAATATTAGTCAATCTAGCAGAGAAGTGTCACCCTTACTCAAGTTAAACTCAGACTCGTTCGCCGACACCCCAAATTCTCATGCGGTGAAAAATATGGCTAAACCAGCCTGTAAAAAACAAGGAGCCAACTCTATGAAAACATTTACCGATGGAAATCAAGTGTTAGCGGTCTCATTGCAAAACAAATGAACAACAGAACTCCTGAGAATTCGATCAGATACCTCTTTTACTTCGTCTTCAAAATCGAAAAATATTATTGAGCATTTGATTTTAATTAGTCGGATCCAGGAACCGCAGTCAAATATAAGGATCCAGGAATTTATTGGACTGGAGATCAGGGAAACAGCTATTCAAATTATTCGACGATACGATCAAAAAAATCACTAATAGCACTTATATAACTCAAAAATAAACAGTTAGAAAAAAATGTCTATTAGAAAAAAAAATAACGATTCTAGAGTATTAGACCAAAAGTCGAAGAGCCAAATGCAGAGAAGAAAGGCAAAAAGCCCCGGGGCACATCATCATCGTCAGAAGAAGACATTAGTATCTCAAACCTAGCGCCCAAACGCAGGCTTCTGACCGAATCGGAACCGACCGAATCATGGCCACTACTGCGCTCAACCTCGAAGCTCAGAGAATTTGCACCCAAACCAACAAAAAAAGAAAAACCCAGAACTAGCAAAAGCGCCAGCTCAAATAGTAGGCCTTAATCGACCCTCTTCAAGTTTACTAAGGGTTATTTCCAACTCCCAATTGCCGAATCTTCGGCAACCGAGAAACAGTCTCCAAGCAGGACTGTTAGCCAAACTCAGAGCCTACTCACAAAATGAAAGCCAGCAAAGTATGTTTCTGTGTCGTCTGGCGATGAGCTCATTTTAGACCCAAAAAGAACTCCTCGGCAATTTCCAGTCGAATTTTCCAAACCGACCGAAACAGCGCCTACTCCAGAATCAAGACCGGAAAAACCATCTCACAGCCAAGATGACAACATATCCACATCTTCCAAATCATCGGGACGGAGTAAGGGACATTAAAACTTTATAGAAGATCAGTCAGGCACGCAGTGAAGGAGGTGCCTGAATCGATGGAGCCTCAACGACCAGGCATTAGAGATGCCACTGCAGTATCAACCGAGGATTGGTCCGCCACTCTATCGCCTTGCCGGAAGATTCGTGTCTAGCTGAAAAGTGCTAAAAAGATCTGAAAACTTTTTTATCTGATGATTTATGTTAGTATGTTATAATTTTTTAAATTTGTGATGTTGAAATTTTCGTCTAAAGGCGGAAGTGTGACGGCAACGTAGCCTCATGTTTATCTACTTTATTCAGCTTACGTTGCCTAATGTGTGAACTGGGATTTAGCTGCCAAGGTGTGTCAAGTGAATTTGATTTGATCACGCTCACTTTTTATTGACTGTTGAAAAGTAGCAGTTGTATTATTTGAATTAACGTAACCAATCTGGTTACTACTTCACACCGCCTAAAAGGATTTACGGCGAGGATGTCAAATTGTTTCTTAGCTGAAGTTTCCTAGCCAATCAGAATCGGTCATTTTACACGCACCGCTAAGTAATTTATTTCAAACTTATAATTGGGGAAGAAGATCTCAACTTTGTCTAGTTATAGGAGGGAGGATGACAATTTGACCCCACATCTTGGTTTAAGTGACATGTTTTTTGTAGAGTTCTGACCACGTGCAAGCAGTGAGGAGGCAATCAAGTGTGCCCAAATTTGAGGACCCTCCAGACGAAGAGGAATTGCACTTCATGTCTCCCGTTGAAGGTGACAACGACAACTCCGCTCCCCACAAGGTACCTAATTCATCTCGTAGCAACAAGCAAAGGGTTAAATAAAACAACAACTCGAGAAAACAAACATCCAGAACAAACAATTAAACTCTAAAACCAGACAAACGACAAGAAAACAACGCCCAAGTCGTAGGATATTTGACAACTTGCAATTAAAAAAAACCGGTTGCTGTGCATGTAGCGAAGAAAGCTCCGACCACGATAATAAAAACCAAATCCAAATTGTGTCGTTTTTCGATTGTGTTGTGATTGGGAGAATCTCTTGACACAAGTCTAGGACTTAAGGATAGTTGATAGTATCAATAAAATAGCAGGCCTATCCGACAATAGTTTCTTTCGAAAAAAAAAACAAATAATTTTCAATCAGTTTTTCTTAGTTTTTTTAAAGTTTTCCCAAAACAGACATGTTCCCTAAAAAGGCCAAAAGAAACTTTAAAAATTAAATTCAATGTAGAAATTTAACTATTCACGGCTTAAAAACACCGTATTAGAAGCTTGCTCGATTCCTTTTTGCTCAAAATTAGACAAAAGTTGAAAAACTCTCACTGATTTTTCACAGAACTGAGGAAATTTTTGGAAAATTTTTGTAATGTCGTTCGAATCAACACTGAAGGCGCTTTTATATGAGACAGACCTCGGCCCATTCAGATGATTCTTTGTTTTATCTTATTTTTGAGTGGAAAAAAATCAAAAACTAAAACACCCGAAGACAAAGTTGGTCTTCAGCGGTCGAACAAAGACTATGTGACCTGATCACTTTGACTTAGAACAGGTCAAGCTGGATTAGCGGCAAACACTAAATCTGGCTCACTTATTTGACCTGTACCGAATGTGAAATAGCCAATGCAGATTTTAAAACTAGTTATCTTATTTATCGAGTTGCAACTTTAAGTTCCTTCAGTTATGAGATAAACATTTTGCAACTTTATTTGCAAAAAAATATGTTTTGCCAGGTTACTTTTTGTTAGCTGCATTTTTTCGAGTTGCCGCGAAACCATATTTTTGAGCGACAACAACTCGCGGAATAAATTCTCTTGTGGATAAATCGTCTTAAATTGGAATGCGAAAAATGGTCAAAAGCGAGAATTCGCACTCCGGCTACGTTACGTACCCGGCAATAACCCGGACCATCAGGCAACGTTTAGAAGTTCAGCTTTTTTTCGACAGCGGGTCGGGTACGTGTTGCATGCTTGCCAGTCCAATGACTATAACTTTTTATGAGAACGCCCGGAGGTTATTCGTTGCGCGCCCATCGCCAGATTACTGTGAGACTTGTTTTTTTTTCGGCTACCTCCTTTGTCACTTCGTATCTTGTTCCCTCGTGGCCTTTTCGATATATAGCACATTGTTTGCCGGACTTCCGATCGGTTATACGAGGTCGATAATTTCGAATTGCCTTCTCGGACCTTCTCGTTGAGGTTTTATGACCACGATGATTTCCATGCAAGCTTCCAATTCCGATGATTTTTTGTTGAACCCCATTTCGTTGATCAGGTTATTAAAGATTTTATCTTTGTTTTCTTCAATCGGACTTTCTTTTGCAAACTTCTTCTCTATTTTGTTTCGTATCAATGATAATTTTGTGTGGGGTTTTGCAAGTATTTAAATTTCTACCTGTGTCGACTTTCGCGCGATCTCTTCAAATTAAAATTAGCAGTGGCGATTTTTGTGCGATTTCTGTTCCAGAAGAGCGCTGAATTTTGGAGTTTTCAGACAATAGTATTTGCTTGAAGATGACTCGGCGTTTCGTTCTTTACAGTCGCTATTCGAGGGAAACTCTTCTTAACCGGGTGAATCGTCTTCATCTGCTATTCTCTCTTTGGTGGTTTTCTCCAGTCCGCTTTGAATTTTTTTCTGACTTATGTTGTTCTTTTTTCTGTTGTTCCGTTTTTGAGGGCTGTTTCGTGCTTCCTTCTTACCGCTTTATATTTTCTGGTTAATTTTCTTCTCTCCTTAGTGAATGAAAGCCTGGTCACTTCTCCCATTTGCAATGCTTATCTTTCATCTTTGTTTTTATCTATTTCCTCAGGTTAATTTTTTTCTAATTTTGTGCTGAGAGAGCGCAAAATGGAGCTTACAAAGTAATTGCGAAATTTGAAAAATTTGTTATTACAGCTCGCTAAAAAGCTTTGCCTGCTAATTTATCTTGCTGTAGAATTGGACTAACAATCATCATGCGATTATAAGACAAAATTTGAAGGTTTCCGCACTTAACTTTCTTAAACAATTTTCCGGCCCCCATAAAAATTAAGTTTTCTTACGACCAAAAGTATACTTTTTCCTCCTGGCTGCTTGACTTTCATCATTAACAATATAGCACTGTGCTTAAGAATAAGAGCATGTGAAGATAACCAGGTTTTTGATTACTAAGTTATGAATAACTTTATAGTTCATTGATAGTGGGGGATTTTCAAAAAAATTTATCGTCCTTTTTTTTAAACGCCCCCCCCCCCCCTAAATCCGTTGGTGATTCAGAGCATGATCAGCAGGAGACTCTCTTCCATATTTTCCAGATTCCCTCCCAATCATAAAATTACAGTATAAAGTTGTCTGAAAATTGTTCATAAGGCAAGTTGCAAGAAATAAAAAAAGCTGCTTAAATATCGGTTCACTTCGGTTCGCGCTGACATGCTTTATTGCAGTTTATATTATCAAAAAACAATTCACAGGCTTTCTAGTTTCATTGTAAATATATTTTCAGAAAAAAAATGATTTTAATTTCCAGAAAAACGTTCTGTACATACAAGATAAGTCATTCGCTTCAGGAGCGGATTTAGGAGGAGAGGGCGGGGGGGGGGGGGCGGACGCTTCTTTCCCTTAGGAATTCGACGCCCTCCCTTCCAAAAGGGTCTTCCTTTGAACCATTTTTTGAGAAATCCATATTTGGTGATTGAACCTAAAAATTTTCTAATATACACTAATTTTGAGGGGGGAGCGCGCCCCGAAAAAAAACATTTTTTGGTCAAAATTTTCGAAAAACTGCCTAAAACTGCCTTTTTAAGCCTGTTTTTTCAAAATTTTACCTGCGGCGCAGAAAATTTGGCCACAACAGCGTCTTTTCAATGCTTTAGGAGAGCTCGGAAAATCAATTTGGTCGACATAAATAAAAAAAGTCGACAAAAGTCGAAAATTTTTTGAAAATCCCCCCCCCCTCGAGAAAATCCTAGATCCGCCCCTGTTTAGCTTATTTTACATAAATAGCGCATCGAAGCCTATCATTACCTGCATTATCAGGAGAAGTTTTAAGAAGAGGACGAATTTTTTTCAGAGCAAAGAAAACGAAAAAGATAACTTACCATAATTATTAGGCGATCCATCACAGTCAAACAGGAAGTATTGAGCAAATATTGATTGATAAGACAAGGAAAAAATAAATCAGGTGTAAGTTTGATCGATTGGAGAGTCAGTTTAACAACTTTATTAGACTCCCAATCGTCAGGAAACTAACATCACATTTAACCAACAAGAGTAAATTTGTTTTTGTTTATTTTTAATGTACTCTCTGCCGTCAGCACTAACACGGTAATGGACAGAAATCTTTTTTGACAAGTTAGTAACCTTCCAAATAAAATACATTGGCTTCAGATCATAGCCGGAAAAGAAAACGGTAAAGGTGCGGCTTTAAAAGTCAATCGGAGCCGATTAACAACCTTTGAAGATGGTTGAAATTTTTACGTCAATCGAACATGAACACTTTTTTTTTAATCCGTTACCAGCTAATAAAATTTTATAAGCGAAGGAAATTACTCAATTTTAGCTAACCAGAACAAATAGCTACAAATAGCTGAATTATATCAAGAAAGCCAGCTGATCGATTCGAGATAATGATACTTGGATCCGTTAAAAAACAAGTCTTAAAGATGGGTCTTGTAGAGTTGGTTAAAAACCATAAATTCTATTATTAGGCAAATAAGCCAGCTTTTTACACATGTTCAAAGACTTATCTGTACTTCAGGGACTTAACTACCATACTTTTGTATTCAACTAGTCTATTTGGACAGGAAATAAAACCAAGTAAAGTCTACCAGAGCAAACGAGTCAATAGTAAAATAACCAAGCAATCAAAAAAACTTGCTTGGGAGTCGAATTGAATTGTATTGAACGCTAACTCATCCAATTTTGACGCACAAGTGGTTTAGCTATTGAACATACACCACTGAGACAAAGAAAAAACCATTCTGAAAAAATTGCTTAAAATTAAAAAAGGAAGATGTTTTTGCAAGCTATTGTATTGTCCCGGAGCTATTTTTGGATCTTTTCAACTACCCCCTCTCCACCTATGATGTACCAAGTCGAGAATAACCACTTCGAAAAAAGAACTGAACCAATGGCTAATTATACGCGCTTTTCGTACCTTTTTAACCCCCCCCCCCCCTTCCCCCATCTGGCAATAACGGGGAAATAGCTGCAGAGATCACGACTTTCCCATAAAAAAATTTGCTCTCAGAGCTCTGCACGAGTTGCGACCACCGATGGAAACTAATCAGTCTGATCATGAAAAGCCCCAGAGAAGCTATGATAATTGCAAAAAATGACAAAAGTGATGTTAATTTGAAAAATTTTGAAATAAAAAAGTAAATTGAATACTAGAGGTATTTTGTTAGTCTTAGTGAATTCGAATTCTTATGAACAATTTGTCTTAGTGAATTCGTTTGTCTTAGTGAATTCGAATCCTTATGAACAAGTTTCAAACAAAAAAACTCGAATTAAAAAGTTACGAGGACAAATGGTTGCTATGCATAGAAAAACCTGACCACAAAAATTCGGGTAGAAAAATCTGAATAATGGTGAAAACTTTTTCAAAAATTGACAAAAATCAAGTAAACACCCCCCCCCCCCCCTCCCTAAAAAAAATGGACAAGTTAAGGTGCTCTACCCCAGCTTTCAATTTAAATTAAATTTGCTGAGCGCTGCGTGTAAAATGCTCCATTCTGATTGGCTGCAAATTCGAACTCAGAACTAAGTTAGCATCCACTTCCCTAAAAGCCTGGGTGGGGGTTTGGTGGTGGTGTCGGATGTTACTTTTGTCCATTAATTTTTAAAAATATCATATTGCTTTTTAAAAAATCAGCCCCATTTTTCTCGAACGTTTTTTGACAACTTATTGATTTTTTCAATCCTAATCACGATTCAATGGGCTTTAAAAACGCACTTTACTTGATTCCTACGAGTCGGATCTAACCGTTTCTCAAGTTTTTTTTTCGATTCTACTAAAATAATTTTGATTAGCGCAGAACTTAGAGGTTAACAAAGTATTTTCATTGAGAAAAAAAATATTTTTATTAATGCTTTTAGCAAACAAAATATTGTGCAAGGCTTTCCAAGAAAATGCGCATAAAGATGAAACGAAAAAGAAACAATTACTTCAATAATATCAAACCATTTCTTTGTTTTTTTTGTGGTTTCTTTTGATGAATAAATCATGGCTTCCCATGACAACAGGAAATATTAGCGCTTTCCACGTAAAACTGATTTCTTCTCGTTCAAAAAAACCGAAAGAAATATTTCAATTGTTTCAACCATTTTTTTAAAAAAAAACTAGTTTAAATCAATCTAATTTGAGCGTTCAAATTTTAATGCACATTTTCTAGAGGAAATGGTAGATTAAGTGGGCTATGTTGATTAGAGAGAAGTCGAATAGTTGAGTAAAACAAAGAGTAGTTTTTTTCACTCTAATGCCTCGGTTTGCCTGGTTAAAAAGCAAGGGGCGTTTTGCTCAACTTAATTTAAAATAGCCCCCAAATGCCATTGATAAGCCGTTCAAAAATAGACATTAAAACTGAAAAAAAAAACAAAGTAAATTTTCCATTGTGTTCGAAGACAAATTTTTTTGTAATCATAAAACAGGAAAACCAGTATGACGCACAAAAACTAACAAATTCGTTATTCGAAGAATAAAAAGACCGTCTGGCCTTTCGTTCAAAGCAAAGCAAGGGCTGTTTTTCAACGCCAGAAATAGCAACTTTAGGCGTGAAATCTCTGGTGTATTTTTTACCAGAAGAAATATGTCTGAAAAGCGAAAAAAGACGAAACAAATTATGCAAATTTCGGTCACAGCCCGGACGGTTTCTACACTCCCGTTTTAATTTAAATAAATTACAAAGCTTTTGATCATTAACATAAGATGACTTTATTAGTGCATCAATGGTGTCAGCTCTAACATAGGGCACAACATCAATCGCTACAGTTTCATTTTGAAAATTTTAATTTAACGGAATCAATCATTTTTCCCCATAGGATCTAGCAGCAAAAATCCACTACTGTTAAGAACTGCTTCACCGGTTAAACATAAAGCGAATATTGACATAGTGGCGAACTTCCTAATGAAACACGGAGGGAGGTAAAGAATGAATTCAGGAGAGCCAATTAAGGAAAATTGACAATACAAAATCAGAAACTATAAAAACATTAAAATTACGAAAGATAACTAGAAATATATACCATCAGGGCGGATCTAGGGTTTTCTCGAGTGGCGGATTTTCTAAAAATGTTGTCCCCTTTTTTAGGTCGACCAAACTGATTTTCTGAGATCTACCACATCAAGAGAAGACCCTCTTTTGAGAAATCTTTTTGAGCCACAGGTAGGTTTTCAAAAACAGGCCAAAAAGCAAGTTTTTCGGCACTTTTTTAAAAAGGTTTCTAACAAAAAACTGCGTTTATTTTCGGCGGGTGCTCCACGCTTACAATTTAAGGGTCGCCAAAGGCGCCCTCAGAAAATTTTCAGGGTCGGTCGGCCAAACATAGATATCCTAAAATAGCACCAAAGGGGGTCGAATCCGTGAAGGAAGGCGATATCGCCCTTTAATTCCGCTATGTATACCATAATAGCAGTTAAAACTTCTTCAAGGCTGCCAAGCTACATCAAAGAACATTTTCAAGGCTACACAAAAAAGTTCCGAAATGTGAGCATCAGTTAGAAAGATGAGCATAGCTTGAAGGTGAGGCGGCGATTTTATGGGTGTGTTATTTTCAATTAAAACCTCAAAAGCGGTATGCCGCAAGAAACTAAAAAGATTAAATAAGTCTTGCCCCTAGCACCTATACTCTATGCTTATGCTTACTAAATGACCTACCTCATTTTGGTTTTAAAAATCAATGACCTTTACTTAGGAAGACTTTAAGCAGCAGTAGATACTTTTCTTTTCTGGGAAAGAGCCGATAAAAAAAACCAAGCAAGGAAAAAATTGACTTTCGCAAAAAATCTTTCCCACAATAATTATTCTCTTCTATAAATAATTCGGTAGAAGGACAATTTAGCCAATTTTAATCTACCCTATCCAATGCCATGTTATCCAATGTCATTAAAGAAGACCTGAAAAAGCAAAACAAATTAATTAGAACTGAAAACCTGCCGATTCGAACGGTTACTTACCTGCATATAAAGAATTACAAGCCTCAAACCACTCTTACTTGAACGCATCTTTGCATCTTTCAGAGATAAGTCCACATTTTACTTCAAAAACAGTCAAAATTGAATGCGCTTTGAATGAGCCGATACAGATCATGTAAATAAGTCCAAAATAGCACAAATGGCGCTTGACACAAGGCTGAAAATAAGTGCAACAATTCACCAAAAAAAACTAGGTCAGATAAACTTTCATATGTCTCGATAGAAGTTTATTCCAGGCAAACATGCCAGACACTTGAATTTTAAATCAGCAAAAACGGAACAAAAATTACGACAAGAAACAAAGCCGACAATCTTTGAGCAGACACCAACTGAACCGAAAAAGAGTTTATGATTTTTAGAAAAATCCTTCAAGCCCCCCCCCCCCCAAAAACTAGAATGAACATCGCTTGCACTTGCAGCAACAATGAAAATCGTCGACAGCACGAGCAAACCCGTTGTGTTTATTTTGAATTGTCAAGAAAATGAGCATGTCAGTCAGCAGCATAGTCAGCAAGTGATTCAACTGATTTTGTTGAACTAGTTGTTAAATAGAACTAGCACCCTCAAGGTCACGTGTTGGATTTTTGTTTTTGGTATTTTCTGAACCAAAAGAGAGCGTGGTCATGCATCGACATCATGTGCTCAAGCAAATACGTGGACTTCTACGCATTCCCATTCGCAATGCGCCCTTCGGGCGCAAATGCCAATGCTCAATTAATTTTGCCAGGTGAAAATTTTTTAAAGAAAAATTCTGATGAATTTTAACTTAAACTACCACCAAAAAACGCACAGATTTCAAAGTGTGAAACAATCAAGTTTTTGCTAATACCGGGTATGCAGTGAGACTGATTTCGGCAAAAATAAAATGGAAAATGAAGGAAATGGAAATAAATAAATTGTTCAAAATAAGAACGCATTATCAAAATCTTATTTGATCTCCGGTAATGTCATAATTCCGATCAGGCTGATTTCAGATTTTAAGCGTAGAGTTTACGGTTACGG